TACTTTCGCTCTTTCAGAGATCTGTAAATTGACGGTCGCGTCTTTTCTGAAAATAATTAATTACTAAAATAAGGGTAAAATATTCGATTTGAAATAGTCGGTGTCGATGCTTAATCTCGTAATTCCCTGAATTTCATTTTGCTGATATAAGAACATACATTCTAACGTTTCCCTTTTAATGTTGCATTCGAGATCTACTCATTTTACTAAAATCTTCTTTCTGCTAATTTATTTTGTGCCAGATCAGCAGCAGATTGAGGCAACAACGCCACATCAGCAACATCCCATGGCTATAACCGATGGTGGTGCAGAGCATATCGAGGTTCTTTGTCAAGACAGCGGCATGCGTGGCTGCTGGTTCAGGTGCAAGGTTCTCAATTCATCTCAAAGACGTCTCAAAGTTCAGTACTGCGACGTAAACGACTGTGATGGATCTGCAAAACTCGAGGTATATACATACACACGCACACACATATATATTATATATAAAAACATAATCTTGACTTCAATATATGTGAATTTTGTAGGAGTGGATCCCGGCAGCCAGAGTGGCAGCTCCGGATAAATTCGGTGCAAGATGTGGGGGCCGCCTCACGGTGAGGCCTTGGCCTAATTCAGAATATTCTTCGGACAATAATTTTAGGGTAGGTGCTGCCGTCGACTCATGGTGGTCAGACGGTTGGTGGGAAGGTTTTCTAATTGGATGCGACATGGATGCACCGAACAATCTTCAGGTTTATTTTCCCGGTACGACGATGACTGTACTCCTAAATATTTTATATATATAATAATCAATAAATAAATAGCACATACGATATGTATATATTTATGCTGATTATTCATATTATGAATCACTTGTGGCAGGTGAGGATAGATTTGCGACGGTGGATAGGAAGCACGTAAGGGCTTCAAGAGATTGGGTGGATAGCAGATGGGTTGATATCGAAACGAAGCCCAACATTATTTCATTGATAAATTCATACCGCAACCCGATGCCCAAAATCACGCTGAATCCACTACCGGGCACCTCTGCGCTTAGCAATTTTACGGCAGCAAGGGAATATTCCTCCAAAAGTGTGGACGGCTCAAACTTGAAAGAGCTGCTCCTGATTAAGGAGAAGGAAGACTGGACTGTTAAAGGTTCAGGTAATGCTGCTGGAAGAGGCAACATAGGCCAATCAGATGGGAAGAAAAGGCACTAGATTATATGTCATTTTTTATTTATTACAAAAAAAAAAAAATTATGTATGTATATTTAGTTAGTCCAGAAATACATACAAGGAAAAAAAGGAAGGGAAAGAGAGAAAAAGTTCATAGTGGTTTTGTATGTTTATTATGAAATTAATCAAAGGTTTAATTAAATTATGAGGTGGTGTTCATGTTTTTGTGGTAGTGTTGTTATTTGGTGAGCTGCTTCTTTCATAAACAACTGATACATATAAACGTGTTAAGAACTTTGTAAAAAGTGTTGTTTACACAAATTAAAATAAAATTGAAAGAAAAGAAACAATTGGAGCATATAGAAATGCGCTTTTACTCAGATTAGCAACTTTGACCATTTGTCACTTAACCTTTCAGTTGGTCCACATTAAATTAGGGTCCAATTTTTACCTATCGAATAAGGATTTTAATTTTTGTGATAATTTGAATTTCATATTTGCTTAGTTGAAATTCGATAATTCTGCTGGCATAGCTGAAATTCTGCAATAAATGAGTTCTTATCTTGCAATTATTTTTTTAGGGGTGAAGGGAAAAGGGGGGAAAAGAATATTTATTATTATTATTCCTAAAAATGGGATAACATTTAATGAGTATGTTATGGGAAAACTACATTTAGTACCGATTCACAGGAATTTACTGTTAGTTTCCTCAAAAGAAAAATTGGATAATTTTATAATTAGAGAATTACATAGTCAATTAAAAGTTCGTATATTTCTATTTAATTCAAAAATAATCTCACTCATGCTAGTGTGCCACTATACAAAGCCTTATGGTAATTCCAATTTAAAAGAGGAAAACCCAAAACAAGAAATCTCAACTTAGCACAAAATTCTACAAATGGCACGTGGTTTCTTTTTTCTTTTTTATTTCCTTTTTTTTTTGCATTATTTATTATTTGGTCTTGCGTGAGTTAATAAAGCTATTTTAATTTATGGGTATATTTGTTATTTCATCTTAATAAAATAGAATTTTGTGGAATATTTCTTTAATAGTCTTGCACAAGTGAAATTAGTATTGCATATAACGGCTGTAAAGAAACAAATAAATAATAACATATTCAGAAATTAGAAAAAGAAAAAAGAAAATCTACTAAATTGTAGAATATAAGTCAAGTCAATGAATTGAAATAAACTAAAATGCTAATAAATCTGTCCAGGATTATATGAAAAAAGTAATAATTAGGCAATCTATAGTATTTTATGGGACCAGAAGAAAATTTCATTAGCAAATATGTGTCCTCATAATTGAGACATGATTTTGTGCTAATCCCACTTTTCCTATAATCAAATTATGGGTTAATTACAATAACTCGTAATATCTATTGACCAGTCAGAGATTTACTCAACAATTGTTTGAAGAAAAAAAACAATTGTACAAAATTAAATCATAATATTTTTATTTAATGTTTATTCGGACACTTTTATTACATTTTATTATTTTGTTTTACAAAAGATAAAAAAAACAGAAAGAGAAAAAATGGAGGAGAAGAAAAATTAAGCTACCCATATAATAGAAAGAACATAAAAAGACCTGCATTTTCTGTCTTTGCCCATCATTAATACCATCTCTCTCTCTCTCTCTCTCTCTCTCTCTCTCTCTCTCTCTCTCTCTCTCTCTCTCTCTCTCTCTCTCTCTCTCTCTCTCTCTCTCTCTCACTCTCTCTCTCTCTCTCTCTCTCTCTCTCTCTCTCTCTCTCTCATATTTATTGACTCTCCCTTCATCCTTTACTCATTCACCACTACTATCACCATTTAACCCTTAACCGCCAAAAGCTGTCACCAAACATCATACTCACCTTTTGTCTATTTCTCTTCCCTTAACTCAATCTCACCTGTTTTTTCTTCATTTTTTTCTTTTTAAGGCTAGTTCATATTCATCCCTCTATATTTATCTTCTACCTTGTGTTCTCTTTTTTCTTAGCTTTGCCATTCTTGGAATTCTCGCATCATACCCTTTAGGGTTGGTTCATGTGTGTTTGTTTTGATCAGTTGTTTCCTGGTTTTGAGTGCTGGTCGTAGGTTCAACTAAATTGTTTAACTCAAGCAAAACTCATTTTCATTTTGTGACAAAGATACAATTTCTATTTATTTTTGTATTTTTGGTTGTGGATTTAATCTCTATATTAAGCAGAAACCCGAATATCCTTAGGATTTTGGGTTTTTTTTATTTATCAATTTCAGTATATATATGTGGTCTCAAAATTGCAAGAATTTTTGATAATCATATCTTGATTTGCTTACTGCATCAAAGGGGTTGACCTACTGTGGTGATGTGGTGAAATGCATGTTATGTTCTTGACACTTATAAAACTTTGTGTTTCTTGAAGACTATGGAATTACTTAGCTTATTTCATGCAAAGGGCCAATGGTTAAATGCATGTTTTGTTTATCAATGTGCTTCATTCTTGATATATACCTAAAAAGTCGAATTTTGAATTGACTATTCCACCAAAAAGGGGTTGTCTCGTTGTTAAAATGCATGTTTTTTTTTATCTACAACATTTTTAAATTCTCTTATATTCTGCTTGTTCAGGATGTCTAACAATCAGGTCCAAAGGGGGTGGGAAGAGCGTGTTATTTGTCCTGAAAAGGGAAGACGCAAAGTTCACTATATCTTAAGGGACTCAACTGCAAATTCTCTACTTGCTGTGGTGGGAATTGAAAGAAGTTATAACCACATGTTCTACACAGTCACAGAGGACTACCTACGAGTCTTTGGGTCAAGGGCAGCAGTCAATGCTAGAACGGCATGGAAAGCTCGTAAATACGTCGTCGAATTTCTCATTTCAATAACCTCGGGAGGAGGCTCGCTATTCGCTAATTCAAATACGTTGTGCTCCTATAGAATAATAAATGCTATAATTATCTGAAACTAGAGTGTATTGTATGATTTCAGCTGTTGTTTGAGAATTTTGCATATTCCCTAACAACGTCGTTCGTACGCATGCATAGGATTAGTTATTTCCCGTCTCACGTCAATTCTTTCGCACGCTCCTAATTTTGGAATGTCGATTGGATTCCGTGAATCTCTCCCAAGACTTATTTTATCCATAACGGGCTTCATCGACCTCGACTTGGATTATACTAGGCTATTTAATGTTCAGATACGAATCCATGTTTGTTTTCCAAAATTAATTTCGAAAATTTGAAAGTTGTTGAAAAAACAAAAAGAGGAAAAGAACTATAAATACGTGCTTTTCTAGAAACGTATGGAAAACAAACACGTGTTTTGTGCTGACGTCAGACTGAGGTACCACAATTTAGTGTTTTGTGCTATAAAAAGGGGTTCTTGTGTGTGTCATTTTTCATATATGCATTCTTTGGGAAACCTCCTCTTCTCGAGCTTTGGAATCTCCGCTTCACTCGTTATCGAGTTCAAGGTAAAATTGTAGATGCCTAGAGATTTTTACAGTCGAGAGTTATGTTTATATAATAGCTTCTTGTCCAGTCATACAAGTAAAATATTTTTCATCTCCTTCGGATTCTTTTTTTTATTTGATTTTTGAGACAAATGAATGATGAATTCAGCCTTTTGTGTGGCGAAAACCTAACATGATTGTTCTATTTGAGTTTTCGACCAATTTATTCTTGAATTCGCATTCATCATTTGATTCAATTCCTAGTTCATTTACGGTATGATTGACGATCGAGGTTTTAAACAAGCAATCCTCAGTCTCGTTAGAAGAATTACTTTCACTCTTTCAGAGATCTGTAAATTGACGGTCGCGTCTTTTCTGAAAATAATTAATTACTAAAATAAGGGTAAAATATTCGATTTGAAATAGTCGGTGTCGATGCTTAATCTCGTAATTCCCTGAATTTCATTTTGCTGATATAAGAACATACATTCTAACGTTTCCCTTTTAATGTTGCATTCGAGATCTACTCATTTTACTAAAATCTTCTTTCTGCTAATTTATTTTGTGCCAGATCAGCAGCAGATTGAGGCAACAACGCCACATCAGCAACATCCCATGGCTATAACCGATGGTGGTGCAGAGCATATCGAGGTTCTTTGTCAAGACAGCGGCATGCGTGGCTGCTGGTTCAGGTGCAAGGTTCTCAATTCATCTCAAAGACGTCTCAAAGTTCAGTACTGCGACGTAAACGACTGTGATGGATCTGCAAAACTCGAGGTATATACATACACACGCACACACATATATATTATATATAAAAACATAATCTTGACTTCAATATATGTGAATTTTGTAGGAGTGGATCCCGGCAGCCAGAGTGGCAGCTCCGGATAAATTCGGTGCAAGATGTGGGGGCCGCCTCACGGTGAGGCCTTGGCCTAATTCAGAATATTCTTCGGACAATAATTTTAGGGTAGGTGCTGCCGTCGACTCATGGTGGTCAGACGGTTGGTGGGAAGGTTTTCTAATTGGATGCGACATGGATGCACCGAACAATCTTCAGGTTTATTTTCCCGGTACGACGATGACTGTACTCCTAAATATTTTATATATATAATAATCAATAAATAAATAGCACATACGATATGTATATATTTATGCTGATTATTCATATTATGAATCACTTGTGGCAGGTGAGGATAGATTTGCGACGGTGGATAGGAAGCACGTAAGGGCTTCAAGAGATTGGGTGGATAGCAGATGGGTTGATATCGAAACGAAGCCCAACATTATTTCATTGATAAATTCATACCGCAACCCGATGCCCAAAATCACGCTGAATCCACTACCGGGCACCTCTGCGCTTAGCAATTTTACGGCAGCAAGGGAATATTCCTCCAAAAGTGTGGACGGCTCAAACTTGAAAGAGCTGCTCCTGATTAAGGAGAAGGAAGACTGGACTGTTAAAGGTTCAGGTAATGCTGCTGGAAGAGGCAACATAGGCCAATCAGATGGGAAGAAAAGGCACTAGATTATATGTCATTTTTTATTTATTACAAAAAAAAAAAAATTATGTATGTATATTTAGTTAGTCCAGAAATACATACAAGGAAAAAAAGGAAGGGAAAGAGAGAAAAAGTTCATAGTGGTTTTGTATGTTTATTATGAAATTAATCAAAGGTTTAATTAAATTATGAGGTGGTGTTCATGTTTTTGTGGTAGTGTTGTTATTTGGTGAGCTGCTTCTTTCATAAACAACTGATACATATAAACGTGTTAAGAACTTTGTAAAAAGTGTTGTTTACACAAATTAAAATAAAATTGAAAGAAAAGAAACAATTGGAGCATATAGAAATGCGCTTTTACTCAGATTAGCAACTTTGACCGTTTGTCACTTTACCTTTCAGTTGGTCCACATTAAATTAGGGTCCAATTTTTACCTATCGAATAAGGATTTTAATTTTTGTGATAATTTGAATTTCATATTTGCTTAGTTGAAATTCGATAATTCTGCTGGCATAGCTGAAATTATGCAATAAATCGGTTCTTATCTTGCAATTATTTTTTTAGGGGTGAAGGGAAAAGGGGGGAAAAGAATATTTATTATTATTATTCCTAAAAATGGGATAACATTTAATGAGTATGTTATGGGAAAACTACATTTAGTACCGGTTCACAGGAATTTACTGTTAGTTTCCTCAAAAGAAAAATTGGATAATTTTATAATTAGAGAATTACATAGTCAATTAAAAGTTCGTATATTTCTATTTAATTCAAAAATAATCTCACTCATGCTAGTGTGTCACTATACAAAGCCTTATGGTAATTCCAATTTAAAAGAGGAAAACCCAAAACAAGAAATCTCAACTTAGCACAAAATTCTACAAATGGCACGTGGTTTCTTTTTTCTTTTTTATTTCCTTTTTTTTTGCATTATTTATTATTTGGTCTTGCGTGAGTTAATAAAGCTATTTTAATTTATGGGTATATTTGTCATTTCATCTTAATAAAATAGAATTTTGTGGAATATTTCTTTAATAGTCTTGCACAAGTGAAATTAGTATTGCATATAACGGCTGTAAAGAAACAAATAAATAATAACATATTCAGAAATTAGAAAAAGAAAAAAGAAAATCTACTAAATTGTAGAATATAAGTCAAGTTAATGAATTGAAATAAACTAAAATGCTAATAAATCTGTCCAGGATTATATGAAAAAAGTAATAATTAGGCAATCTATAGTATTTTATGGGACCAGAAGAAAATTTCATTAGCAAATATGTGTCCTCATAATTGAGACATGATTTTGTGCTAATCCCACTTTTCCTATAATCAAATTATGGGTTAATTACAATAACTCGTAATATCTATTGACCAGTCAGAGATTTACTCAACAATTGTGTGAAGAAAAAAAACAATTGTACAAAATTAAATCATAATATTTTTATTTAATGTTTATTCGGACACTTTTATTACATTTTATTATTTTGTTTTACTAAAGATAAAAAAAAATAGAAAGAGAAAAAATGGAGGAGAAGCAAAATTAAGCTACCCATATAATAGAAAGAACATAAAAAGACCTGCATTTTCTGTCTTTGCCCATCATTAATACCATCTCTCTCTCTCTCTCTCTCTCTCTCTCTCTCTCTCTCTCTCTCTCTCTCTCTCTCTCTCTCTCTCTCTCTCTCTCTCTCTCTCTCTCTCTCTCTCTCTCTCTCTCTCTCTCTCTCTCTCTCTCTCTCTCTCTCTCTCTCTCTCTCTCTCTCTCTCATATTTATTGACTCTCCCTTCATCCTTTACTCATTCACCACTACTATCACCATTTAACCCTTAACCGCCAAAAGCTGTCACCAAACATCATACTCACCTTTTGTCTATTTCTCTTCCCTTAACTCAATCTCACCTGTTTTTTCTTCATTTTTTTCTTTTTAAGGCTAGTTCATATTCATCCCTCTGTATTTATCTTCTACCTTGTGTTCTCTTTTTTCTTAGCTTTGCCATTCTTGGAATTCTCGCATCATACCCTTTAGGGTTGGTTCATGTGTGTTTGTTTTGATCAGTTGTTTCCTGTTTTTGAGTGCTGGTCGTAGGTTCAACTAAATTGTTTAACTCAAGCAAAACTCATTTTCATTTTGTGACAAAGATACAATTTCTATTTATTTTTGTATTTTTGGTTGTGGATTTAATCTCTATATTAAGCAGAAACCCGAATTTCCTTAGGATTTTGGGTTTTTTTTATTTATCAATTTCAGTATATATATGTGGTCTCAAAATTGCAAGAATTTTTGATAATCATATCTTGATTTGCTTACTGCATCAAAGGGGTTGACCTACTGTGGTGATGTGGTGAAATGCATGTTATGTTCTTGACACTTATAAAACTCTGTGTTTCTTGAAGACTATGGAATTACTTAGCTTATTTCATGCAAAGGGCCAACGGTTAAATGCATGTTTTGTTTATCAATGTGCTTCATTCTTGATATATACCTAAAAAGTCGAATTTGTAATCGATTATTCCACAAAAAAGGGGTTGTCTCGTTGTTAAAATGCATGTTTTTTTTTATCTACAACATTTTTAAATTCTCTTATATTCTGCTTGTTCAGGATGTCTAACAATCAGGTCCAAAGGGGGTGGGAAGAGCGTGTTATTTGTCCTGAAAAGGGAAGACGCAAAGTTCACTATATCTTAAGGGACTCAACCGCAAATTCTCTACTTGCTGTGGTGGGAATTGAAAGAAGTTATAACCACATGTTCTACACAGTCACACAGGACTACCTACGAGTCTTTGGGTCAACGGCAGCAGTCAATGCTAGAACAGCATGGAAAGCTCGTAAATACGTCGTCGAATTTCTCATTTCAATAACCTTGGGAGGAGGCTCGCTATTCGCTAATTCAAGTACGTTGTGCTCCTATAGAATAATAAATTCTATAATTATCTGAAACTTGAGTGTATTGTATGATTTCAGCTGTTGTTTGAGAATTTTGCATATTCCCTAACAACGTCGTTCGTACGCATGCATAGGATTAGTTATTTCCCGTCTCACGTCAATTCTTTCGCGCGCTCCTAATTTTGGAATGTCGATTGGATTCCGTGAATCTCTCCCAAGACTTATTTTATCCATAACGGGCTTCATCGACCTCGACTTGGATTATACTAGGCTATTTAATGTTCAGATACGAATCCATGTTTGTTTTCCAAAATTAATTTCGAAAATCTGCAAGTTGTTGAAAAAACCCAAAGAGGAAAAGAACTATAAATACGTGCTTTTCTTGAAACGTATGGAAAACAAACACGTGTTTTGTGCTGACGTCGGACTGAGGTACCACAATTTAGTGTTTTGTGCGTTAAAAAGGGGTTCTTGTGTGTGTCATTTTTCATATATGCATTCTTTGCAAAACCTCCTCTTCTCGAGCTTTGGAATCTCCGCTTCACTCGCTATCGAGTTCAAGGTAAAATTGTAGATGCCTCGAGCTTTTTACAGTCGAGAGTTATGGTTATATAATAGCTTCTTGTCTGGTCATACAAGTAAAATATATTTCATCTCCTTCGGATTCTTTTTTTATTTTATTTTTGAGACGAAATGAATGATGAATTCAGCCTTTTGTGTGGCGAAAACCTAACAAGATTGTTCTATTTGAGTTTTCGACCAATTGATTCTTGAATTTGCATTCATCATTTGATTCGATTCCTAGTTCATTTACGGTATGATTGACGATCGAGCTTTTAAACAAGCAATCCTCAGTCTCGTTAGAAGAATTATTTTCGCTCTTTCGGAGATCTGTAAATTGACGGTCGCGTCTTTTCTGAAAATAATTAATTACTAAAATAAGGGTAAAGTATTCGATTTGAAATAGTCGGTGTCGATGCTTAATCTCGTAATTCCCCGAATTTCATTTTGCTGATATAAGAACATACATTCTAACGTTTCCCTTTTAATGTTGCATTCGAGATCTACTCATTTTACTAAAATCTTCTTTCTGCTAATTTATTTTGTGCCAGATCAGCAGCAGATTGAGGCAACAGCGCCACATCAGCAACATCCCATGGCCATAACCGATGGTGGTGCAGAGCATATCGAGGTTCTTTGTCAAGACAGCGGCATGCGTGGCTGCTGGTTCAGGTGCAAGGTTCTCAATTCATCTCAAAGACGTCTCAAAGTTCAGTACTGCGACGTAAACGACTGTGATGGATCTGCAAAACTCGAGGTATATACATACACACGCACACACATATATATTATATATAAAAACATAATCTTGACTTCAATATATGTGAATTTTGTAGGAGTGGATCCCGGCAGCCAGAGTGGCAGCTCCGGATAAATTCTGTGCAAGATGTGGGGGTCGCCTCACGGTGAGGCCTTGGCCTAATTCAGAATATTCTTCGGACAATAATTTTAGGGTAGGTGCTGCCGTCGACTCATGGTGGTCAGACGGTTGGTGGGAAGGTTTTCTAATTGGATGCGACATGGATGCACCGAACAATCTTCAGGTTTATTTTCCCGGTACGACGATGACTGTAATCCTAAATATTTTATATATATATATAATAATCAATAAATAAATAGTGCATACGATATGTATATATTTATGCTGATTATTCATATTATGAATCACTTGTGGCAGGTGAGGATGGATTTGCGACGGTGGATAGGAAGCACGTAAGGGCTTCAAGAGATTGGGTGGATAGCAGATGGGTTGATATCGAAACGAAGCCCAACATTATTTCATTGATAAATTCATACCGCAACCCGATGCCCAAAATCACGCTGAATCCACTACCGGGCACCTCTGCGCCCGGGAATAGCAATTTTACGGCAGCAAGGGAATATTCCTCCAAAAGTGTGGACGACTCAAACTTGAAAGAGCTGCTCCTGATTAAGGAGAATGAAGACTGGACTGTTAAAGGTTCAGGTAATGCTGCTGGAAGAGGCAACATAGGCCAATCAGATGGGAAGAAAAGGCACTAGATTATATGTCATTTTTTATTTATTACAAAAAAAAAAATTATGTATGTATATTTAGTAAGTCCAGAAATACATACAAGGAAAAAAAGGAAGGGAAAGAGAGAAAAAGTTCATAGTTGTTTTGTATTTGGTTTATTATGAAATTAATCAAAGGTTTAATTAAATTATGAGGTGGTGTTCATGTTTTTGTGGTAGTGTTGTTATTTGGTGAGCTGCTTCTTTCATAAACAACGGATACCTATAAATGTGTTAAGAACTTTGTAAAAAGCGTTGTTTACACCAATTAAAAAAAATTGAAAGAAAAGAAACAATTGGAGCATATAGAAATGCGCTTTTACTCAGATTAGCAACTTTGACCGTTTGTCACTTAACCTTTCAGTTGGTCCACATTAAATTAGGGTCCAATTTTTACCTATCGAATAAGGATTTTAATTTTTGTGATAATTTGAATTTCATATTTTCTTAGTTGAAATTCGATAATTCTGCTGGCATAGCTGAAATTATGCAATAAATGAGTTCTTATCTTGCAATTATTTTTTTAGCGGTGAAGGGAAAAGGGGGGAAAAGAATATTTATTATTATTATTCCTAAAAATGGGATAACATTTAATGAGTATGTTATGGGAAAACTACATTTAGTACCGGTTCACAGGAATTTACTGTTAGTTTCCTCAAAAGAAAAATTGGATATTTTTATAATTAGAGAATTACATAGTCAATAAAAAGTTCGTATATTTCTATTTAATTCAAAAATAATCTCACTCATGCTAGTGTGCCACTATACAAAGCCTAATGGTAATTCCAATTAAAAAGAGGAAAACCCAAAACAAGAAATCTCAACTTAGCACAAAATTCTTACAAATGGCACGTGGTTTCTTTTTTCTTTTTTTTTTTCCTTTTTTTTTGCATTATTTATTATTTGGTCTTGCGTGAGTTAATAAAGCCATTTTAATTTATGGGTATATTTGTCATTTCATCTTAATAAAATAGAATTTTGTGGAATATTCCTTTAATAGTCTTGCACAAGTGAAATTAGTATTGCATATAACGGCAGTAAAGAAACAAATAAATAATAACAGATTCAGAAATTAGAAAAAGAAAAAAGAAAATCTACTAAATTGTAGAATAGAAGTCAAGTCAATGAATTGAAATAAACTAAAATGCTAATAAATTTGTCCAGGATTATATGAAAAAAGTAATAATTAGGCAATCTATAGTATTTTATTGGACCAGAAGAAATTTTCATTAGCAAATATGTGTCCTCATAATTGAGACATGATTTTGTGCTAATCCCACTTTTCCTATAATCAAATTATGGGTTAATTACAATAACTCGTAATATCTATTGACCAGTCAGAGATTTACTAAACAATTGTTTGAAGAAAAAAAACAATTGTACTAAATTAAATCATAATATTTTTATTTAATGTTTATTCGGACACTTTTATTACATTTTATTATTTTGTTTTACAAAAGATAAAAAAAAATAGAAAGAGAAAAAATGGAGGAGAAGAAAAATTAAGCTACCCATATAATAGAAAGAACATAAAAAGACCTGCATTTTCTGTCTTTGCCCATCATTAATACCATCTCTCTCTCTCTCTCTCTCTCTCTCTCTCTCTCTCTCTCCCTCTCTCTCTCTCTCTCATATTTATTGACTCTCCCTTCATCCTTTACTCATTCACCACTACTATCACCATTTAACCCTTAACCGCCAAAAGCTGTCACCAAACATCATACTCACCTTTTGTCTATTTCTCTTCCCTTAACTCAATCTCACCTGTTTTTTTCTTCATTTTTTTCTTTTTAAGGCCAGTTCATAATCATCCCTCTGTATTTATCTTCTACCTTGTGTTCTTTTTTTTCTTAGCTTTGCCATTCTTGGAATTCTCGCATCATACCCTTTAGGGTTGGTTCATGTGTGTTTGTTTTGATCAGTTGTTTCCTGTTTTTGAGTGCTGGTCGTAGGTTCAACTAAATTGTTTAACTCAAGCAAAACTCATTTTCATTTTGTGACAAAGATACAATTTCTATTTATTTTTGTATTTTTGGTTGTGGATTTAATCTCTATATTAAGCAGAAACCCGAATTTCCTTAGGATTTTGGGTTTTTTTTATTTATCAATTTCAGTATATATATGTGGTCTCAAAATTGCAAGAATTTTTGATAATCATATCTTGATTTGCTTACTGCATCAAAGGGGTTGACCTACTGTGGTGATGTGGTGAAATGCATGTTATGTTCTTGACACTTATAAAACTTTGTGTTTCTTGAAGACTATGGAATTACTTAGCTTATTTCATGCAAAGGGCCAATGGTTAAATGCATGTTTTGTTTATCAATGTGCTTCATTCTTGATATATACCTAAAAAGTCGAATTTTGAATTGACTATTCCACCAAAAAGGGGTTGTCTCGTTGTTAAAATGCATGTTTTTTTTTTATCTACAACATTTTTAAATTCTCTTATATTCTGCTTGTTCAGGATGTCTAACAATCAGGTCCAAAGGGGGTGGGAAGAGCGTGTTATTTGTCCTGAAAAGGGAAGACGCAAAGTTCACTATATCTTAAGGGACTCAACTGCAAATTCTCTACTTGCTGTGGTGGGAATTGAAAGAAGTTATAACCACATGTTCTACACAGTCACAGAGGACTACCTACGAGTCTTTGGGTCAAGGGCAGCAGTCAATGCTAGAACGGCATGGAAAGCTCGTAAATACGTCGTCGAATTTCTCATTTCAATAACCTCGGGAGGAGGCTCGCTATTCGCTAATTCAAGTACGTTGTGCTCCTATAGAATAATAAATGCTATAATTATCTGAAAGTAGAGTGTATTGTATGATTTCAGCTGTTGTTTGAGAATGTTGCATATTCCCTAACAACGTCGTTCGTACGCATGCATAGTTTTAGTTATTTCCCGTCTCACGTCAATTCTTTCGCGCGCTCCTAATTTTGGAATGTTGATTGGATTCATTGAATCTCTTCCAAGACTTATTTATCCATAACGGGCTTCATCGACCTCGGCTTGGATTATACTAGGCTATTTAATGTTCAGATACGAATCCATGTTTGTTTTCCAAAATTAATTTCGAAAATCTGCAAGTTGTTGAAAAAACAAAAAGAGGAAAAGAACTATAAATACGTGCTTTTCTTGAAACGTATGGAAAAAAAAACACGTGTTTTGTGCTGACGTCGGACTGAGGTACCACAATTTAGTGTTTTGTGCTATAAAAAGGGGTTCTTGTGTGTGTCATTTTTCATTTATGCATTCTTTGCAAAACCTCCTCTTCTCGAGCTTTGGAATCTCCGCTTCACTCGCTATCGAGTTCAAGGTAAAATTGTAGATGCCTCGAGCTTTTTACAGTCGAGAGTTATGTTTATATAATAGCTTCTTGTCAAGTCATACAAGTAAATTGTTTTTCATCTCCTTCGGATTCTTTTTTTATTTTATTTTTGAGACGAAATGAATGATGAATTCAGCCTTTTGTGTGGCGAAAACCTAACAAGATTGTTCTATTTGAGTTTTCGACCAATTTATTCTTGAATTTGCATTCATCATTTGATTCGATTCCTAGTTCATTTACGGTATGATTGACGATCGAGCTTTTAAACAAGCAATCCTCAGTCTCGTTAGAGGAATTACTTTCGCTCTTTCGGAGATCTGTAAATTGACGGTCGCGTCTTTTCTGAAAATAATTAATTACTAAAATAAGGGTAAATTATTCGATTTGAAATAGTCGGTGTCGATGCTTAATCTCGTAATTCCCTGAATTTCATTTTGCTGATATAAGAACATACATTCTAACGTTTCCCTTTTAATGTTGCATTCGAGATCTACTCATTTTACTAAAGTCTTCTTTCTGCTAATTTATTTTGTGCCAGATCAGCAGCAAATTGAGGCAACAGCGCCATATGTTCTCCCTTCCTATGCTTCATATAGTGCTTGACTTCCTAGGCTATAAGGATATGTTCTCCCTTGCTACGCTTCATATAGTGCTTGACTTCCTAGGCTATAAGGATATTGTCTGTGATTAGCCGCGATGGGACGAAGGCAGACTGAGAATCTGAGATTATTCGGTGCATGAAAGGTTTCAATCGATTGAGAATTTCCTTAGATGCCATTTTGTACATGACATTGCATAGGCTAATCGGGCGGAAATGAGCCATAGTTTCTGATTTAGAACACTTGGGAATAAGAACGATCTGCGTGAAATTACCTGTTGAGGGAAATTCTTTATGGTTCAGCAGCCTCAAAACCCATTTGGTTACGTCATTCCCTACAATTCTCCAGAATCTTTGATAGAAGATAACGGGAAATCCGTCAGGGCCTGGGAATTTTAATGGGTGCATACCTTCTAGAGCTCTGTTAATCTCCTCTGCCGTATAATCCTTAGTTAACTCATAATTAATTTCCGAACCAACTCTCGACTCAACAGAATCTAGCACTTCATTTAGCTCATCATCTGATGGGTTACTATATGTGAAAATATCTCTAAAGTATTCCAAGATTATGTTCTCCATATCATCATCCTTTTCGCGCCAAACCCCAGCCCGGTCCTGAAGACCCGAAATAGTATTCACTTTCCTTCTCGACGAGGCTTTAGCATGAAAATATTTCGTATTCTTATCCCCCTCCCGCATCCAGTGAGTTTTAGCTCTTTGGCGCCACATCATTTCCTCTTTATCGAGCAACTCCTCCAATTCGGTAGATAATTCTCGAATCCGCTGTACAAATTCCTCTGTAAGTATCTCTTTTTTCAACTTCAGAATTTGATCTTTTAATATAGAGATTTGTTTGGTGACTCCTTTAAACGAATGGCTGCTCCAATTAATAAGCCCCCGTTTGCATTGTTCCAGTTGAGTCCATAGACCAAGGTTGTCGTTATAATCTAAGTTATTCGTCCATGATTCCTCAATAATTTTCGGGCAATCATCCGATTTTAGCCACATGGCCTCGAATTTGAAACCTCTCTTCCTTCTGCGGCCTCTACAGTTGGGACTCTTCTTCAAATCAATTCGGATAGGAACATGATCC